ATGCCAGGAGAAACGATGCGGGGGCGTAAGATAGATAAATAAATAAACAAACAAACAAACCAAGATTCATTTACATTACACACCCACAAATACGTACATATCAATTACAATTCTTCATATTTTATTACACAGACATTAGTGTGTTTATACATTACACACACACAGGTTTGTAACTATATCTTTTTGGGAACTCTCAATTCACTTATAAGTTATATGGGAAAAACTCTAACCCCAACATTACGACCTAAACCTCAACTCGACCCTAATCTTTAGCATAAGTAAACAAACAAAATACGAGACTTTTGGTATTTATATATATATTTTTTTTGATTGGATTCACAGATTACATGTTATTACATTGTGTGGGACATTTGGTCCCCACTATGTAATATAAACCTAATCCACACGCACAGACACGCGTCACGCATTTACCTCATACGTTAGCAAGTAATACATGGACTAGCGAGAAATTAGAAACTAGCAAATTACAGAAAGCAACGTGCAAAGCGGCACGCTACCAGGCGGAAATAGTGATGCGGCATTTCAAAGCTAAGCAGCGACCGTTAACTAAGGGCTTCCGGCTTCCGCTGCCGGCTACGGAGCTATGACTTATAATCAAACCCGCCGATCTAAGCGGAAGACGAGACATTTTAATTCATTATATTACAAATCATACACGTGTATAAATAACATATTTCTTTGGACTAATACAAACAACGCTACAGAAAATGATAAGATAATCCAGCGAATTACTTCCAAAATAACATATTATTACAAGTTACTACACTAGTCTTATAACAAAATATTCACCGCATGGGCAGTGACCGATGACCTAGTTAAAACAGCTTACCAATTACAAAATAGTTTTGATCGACGTTAGTTAAATATGGTTATAAAACTACCTGCAAATTACTTTTGTTGCTGCGGTCTAAACTGCTAGTGATTTAGCGAAACTGAACGGATGATCTGAAATGTATGAAATCATACTTCCTAAGCTAACGGAATAGAAGAGCGTGCTATATTTCACTATCCGTTTGCAAAACTTTATGTCTTTGTAACCAATTACATATTTTATAAGTCATAGGAAAAAATATATATATCCTTGCACCGGTAAGCTAAAAAAAAAAAACTAAACGGCTACTAAAAAGATATCTAAACTTAAGTTGCTAATGTAAATTACCAGAAAAACACACTTACCTAACGCTTATCTATAAAATATAATTGTACGAAGCAGAACCACACGAATAATACACCTTATTCTCTGTCAGGGTATCAAACCGATTGAACTACTGGAAAATTCCATTCAAATATAAAGTAAGAGGCGGAGCCAAACTAGTCAGCGTGGCCCAATCGCGGCGCCTCGGACGAGCCTTCGTGTCGCCGATGAATGGTCCGGTTAGAGTGGTGTCAAATGTCCACCAGTGCAGTCACCTGACAGAAACACTACGAACTGTCATGCTAATTACTATTTATTTATATTCATTGACTCAAGCAGGTGCTTTCCCCCCCACCTAGCTTTTTTTTTTTACCTCTGGTGTATAAGTCTTATTTTATTTAATATTACATTTCTTAGCCCGTGGATTATGATTTAATTTTATAGGTATTTTAATTTTACTAGTGTGTTTTTTAAAATAGTGCTTTGCGTTAAAGCTACATTTAACTCAAAATATTGCTTGTTTCCAAAAATGGAAGTGGGGAGTGTGCTGGATAAACGGTTTCGACTGCTACCTCAGTCACGTGACACTCTGTGGTGTTTTACGAAGCGGGTTTACTTTTTGTGAAGATATAAACACATGTTTATGAATATAAAAATGACTATAGAACTCCAAACTAAATTTTGTGACTGTCTTTGGGGTACTGTGACTGTGCTAATGCATAGTTTCCTATAATTAGCATCAGAAACTCTAGGATAGAACATAGCATCATAAACCAGGAAGGTATTAGATCAGTTTCTGGCCGGAAGTTGGGCTAGTAGGACTGATCGAGATGATGGCACATATAGTACTGCAGTATTTTAATAGTTAATTTATGGCTTTTTTCATTATATTCACCGTAACTGGTGTAATATGAAATTGATTTTATCTTTGGCCAAACTTCCCGAATTTACCTTCTGTCTATGTTTATATTTGGAAACATTTTAATCGCCATTTCCCGTAGTCCTTTTCATGAAATTTTTAAATAGTATAAGAGTTCAAGACTGTAAAAGTAAAAAGACTGCTTCAAGCCTAAGATAAGCTACGTGTGTAGTACCGGTATCTTCTGAAGCACGCCTATCCTGTAATTCTTTTTAAGGACACCTACCACACTACCTTCTGATAAGACTAAATAATAACGTACTTTCTCAAGCTTGGTTGTTTGATAATTGTTACTTGTTTTGTCAGGTTTCAGTAGTTATTATACTATAACGTACTATAAACAAAGTACGTCATTGAAAGTATGAGTTTTCGATTAAATATGAGACAGTGATCAGTACCGCAGATAGTTCCGTGTAAGGATGACTACACTTTTGTGACTGGGAATAAGTGTATGTAAAAGGAAATCCTGTCAAATTCATCTCTTTTATGTTTCTGAGCATTTGGGGTCTGAGTATAGTTATGAATACATACAGTGAGCAAAAAACTTGCGAAATTTACGCAATACTTCTGGTGGTGGTGGAATATGCAAATCACGTCAATGTATAATAGATTAACAAACGACTTAATTTTTTTTTTCAGGTTTGCCCGCTAGGATCCACATTAGCATGTAAGTGACATAAGTTCATTACTAACTTTCAGCAAGTGTCAATCATTTGCTCTGAATGTAATTTTGAGGGTCAAGGTTATATGCCAACATTCCTTACCCGAGGGCAGGGCAAGGACCCGCATGCCTCCATATTTTGTATATAAAGAAGCTATTTGTGCTTTAACCATTTTCACACTTGTGAAAAAAAAAATCTGGGGGTGAGAATATTTAGCGACCAGAATGTTTTGCGTGACTTAAAGCTTCTTTAATATACGAATATTAAGACTGTGTTTTCTGTTACGAATTGGATACTCGATAAAATAAATCCCCAAACAATAATGAATTTAGAATACAACTGAGTCACCACGAGTGTAGCCTGCAACAGTAATAACTTTGTTATTAGACAATACACTGTTTGAATACACGTTAGAACCACTTGCACGTTGACCCATCTACGTGAAGCCATCTAAAACTGTTACATGAGTTAGTTATTAGTTATTAGAATTAGTTAGTGTGGGGGTTGTTATATTTTTGACTTGTGTGTTAAGAATGGCTCTTTCTGTTCTGTAAGAGTTAAAATTACTGCTTGCATAAAATGCAAATTAGGCTTTTGTAAATGGAGGAAATAAAAGGCAAAACAGGTTGGTCCTTGAACGTTTCCCAACAGCGATCTTTATCTTTTAATGTTGCATTGAAGTGTGATTCTTCCTCCAAAATGCCATCACCTATTTCTTCCTTCTCCGGTTGAGAGAAGAGAGCCGCGATGCAAAGCATTCGTTAACTAGGAAGTGGATACAGCCCGGAAGTGGATAAAATTCAAACCCTGACATCGTTTGCTTTTCAATAACTAGATAAAAAATCTCAGGAGAGAAAACGTAATTTAAAATAAAACCCGTACACCGCAAACATCAACGAGTTTTGAATTCTTTATTACAATGTCATTCCCATGCCCCGTATCCACCGTCACGCACTCTATATACGCTTCATAAAGCCTATATGATAAGATATGATAAGCTTTATTGATCCCAGGTCAGCTTAAGCTATCGTTAAAAAGATAGTTGTTTAGTTTAGTTCCTAATAGTGTTCAGTTTAGAAACGTTTGTGATTTCATTTAGGGGGGAAATGTTTTAATAGAATACACAACAATGGAAACAATAGCTTGCCCCACGTACACTACACAGCTGTCTGTATATTTAGGAAACTGAATTCCAAGTGTCTTAAAGACCTTATCGCGTTTTACGTCAGAGGTCAATAATTTGTATAGAGTTCAGGTTCAGTATCTTTCCCTTGCCGTTTCTTCCAGCACAATCAGCAGACATGATAAAAAAAAACGTTTATACAAATAACATAAATCTACAATATACATACTCAGTTGTATCAGTATATTTGCAGTTAAATAATGCTCATGCTGCCCAAAAACATTTAAATTGTACATGTAGATCCAGTTACAGATCAATCATTTTAACGTAATTAAAGTCAAAATTAAGATTGACTATTAACAAACCTGAGAAAAAGTGTTGGTGTGTGTTTCTGCTTGTTTTTTGGGTGTCAACAAAACCGGAAATACAAGAATACAAGTTTTTTTTTCCCCCTTAAACTCGTGTGCATGGTATGTTTAACACAATACTAACTTCGATGTTAAAATATCGACAATGTCTGAGAGATAGCATGTATTTCAGGTCACAGTGATTCCAAATGTAATTTCCAAAGCACTAATACAAATAACTTAACTTTGATGGTTTTATTTAACAGGAAAGGGCTACGGCGGTTCTAGGGGGTTGATGTTGGTATAGTAAAAATAAATTAAAATAATAATTTTAGCTATATAAATATATTGTGATAACAATAATACAAACCAAGAAGTATATATAGATTTAGATTTTTTTTCCTGGTAACACTCTCCCCAGTTATAGGGCTGGCTTTCTGGATTCACAGAGGAATGCTTGGAATGGCCAGTCCCTTTCTGGTAAGGCAGAGATCGATGTGGAGCAGAGATCTGAAACCAGTTACTCATCTGGGTGCAACTTTATTTTACTGTCCTGTCAGGATGACTGATTAATTTCATGATGCCTTCCCTCCATCGCCCTGAAGGGGAGCTACCAAAGGAAATCTTCCGTCAGTGTAATGAATCAGCACAGACAACACCTCTAGTAACTGACAGAAACAAAAATAAGTGGTCGGTCATTTTGGTCATGTGTTCAAGTCTTCCCACTGAGCTGGAGTTCCATAAATAGCTAGCAGCTGTTTCTTCCTTGACCCGTATTCTGTCTCTTAGCACACATATCCCCCATCAGTTATTTTCCACTGAGAATTGGGGTGGGAGGGGGGCAAAGGCAGTGGTACCAGAAGCATGCTGAATCAAATGCTTGAGCAATAATATTATTCATGAATGTTTCTGCTTAAGACTGAAAAAAAGAACTGTGGCACCTTATTTTAATAAAAGCATGCTCGATGAAATTGCTTTTAAAAATATATATAAACATCGAAATATTTTCTGAGCATGTAAAAGAAGATAACCAGGAAAATATATAGTTTGCTATTTTGCAGTAGTCTTAGACTGTGCACCAGGAACTAAATCAATCCTGCAGTACATTATTTAAGGCTAACTGAATTGTTCATTTGACTCATGGGGGAAATGGGGGAAGGTGTTACTGGAACTGACTGAGCTAAGACGAAGTGAATTGTATGCCCAGCCATAGGGTGGCATGCTGTCATCACGTGGGCAGTCTGTCTGATGACCACAGCTGCTTACATAGTGCATCCAGTCACGTGTAGAGAATGGCACTATGCTACACAATGAGCCTGGTGTTTCACTGGCCAGTGTTATTCAAGTGCAGGCTAATGAGACTGGAAAGAGTGTGAGCTGGGAAAAGCATTTAATCCATCCAGTTTCACCACACAAATCATCCGGTCACACGGATTACCACTGCGGGCGTGTTTCGGAATGTAGCCACACGCAAGTCCAACGCAATCAGCTTCAAGATGCTAAGGCCCAGGCAGATACAGTTAGAAGACATTATCATCGTTCTGTCTACATTAGAATGGAGTAACAGGTAAAAACAAAGCAGGGAAAGAACGCCCAGGTGGGATTTCACCTCTTAAAGGGACGGGACGTGGTTGCTCTGTCCTGGGTATGGGTAAATATAGCTCAGCGGTTTAGTGCACTGGGCTCTGTCATCAGAGCCACCCTTGTGGGCACATTCGTGGCTGTCGGTGTTGCAGTTACTGCAGTGGCAGCCCAGTGCCGCCGGGTAGGTGAAGTGCGGGTTGACGTGCGGGCGGCAGCCAGGCAGCACAGCAGTACGGTACTCCACCGAGCGGTAAGTGCAGCCCCTCTGGGTCAGATGCCGTTTCCCCACTGGCCCGACCATGTTGGTGTCCTGCCCAGGAACAAGGCAACAGTCACTGCTATGCCTTTCTTTTTCAATTCATTCTTAACCACCACGCCCCCTGCTTTCATCGCGCTTTGTCCACCTTTTTTTTTTGTTTTTATGAAAAGAATGTGACATGTGTCATAGGTACATACATTTATGCATCTGGATATTTATGACTTAAGTTATTTTATGTCTCCAAATAGAATGTTTTTCGCAGGAGGAGCAATTTCTTAACTTCTGTGATATTTGTTTTCCTACCCTGTGTCCTTTCGTTTTCTTTTCTCTCTACAAGCAGCAGTAAAAGAAAATGTTAGAAATTATCTGGGTTCAGGAGGACACAAATGGTATTTATGGGAAGACATGTAGTAGACTGGAGTCCAAACACTAACCCTGCCATATAATATATAGAAAGGTATATAATATTTATTATGCTTCACTGTGTGTTACCGAACTATTGTCAGTTTATGAAACTCAGCTGAGAAAAAGAGAAACTTGATCTTCTATACCTAAGCCTCTGTAAACATTACAAGGATAAGCACTTTATTATTCCCCAGAATCCTAATAAGAAAAAAATTATTTCATGATAGATGAAATAATTAACATTAGTAAACGCTCTGTACAGGAATAAATGCTGACATAATCAGAAACATTGCTCAAACATGTTTTATTTTATTCACAGAGTTCATGTTGCAGCTATAGATCTGCTTTGTTTTGAGTCGCTGGAAAGTTTGGTGACGCTCTTACCCATGAGTAGCAGAGCCCCATACAGATGGTGGTATTGACGGCCATGCAGTAATCACAGCCAGGCTTTTCCACATAGAGAGTGTAGTCAGTCAGGACACACAGGGCCAGGGCTTGGCCGCATAGCACGCATAGGAGCCCGCACACGATCACAGCGATGCTGCCCATCATGATAAGATCCAACCTGCTGACACCTACTGGCTGATATGGGAACCACACTCTGCAAAGCAACAGAAAGTGATCATTCTGTTCCCTCGTCCGTGATACACAGATGCTCTCAACACGCAACACACAAAGGTCACTGATCACAATTACAAGCTATTTGGTAACACACCTCCTTTAATAGTACAGTTTACAACACTCTTAAATGATAACCCAATTTCATGGCCGTTTAGCCCACAATTAACTGCATGTCATTTTTGATATTTGCTAGTTAACCATTTCATTCTACCCTTTATAATTCAGTAATCATTACACGGTTACAAAAGTGGCAAAAAGTGCAGCAGTGTAAAATCAAGGTGAAAATGTGTTGATTTAAATGTCCTCCTTCCATTGCTGGTAGAAAATTACTTACCTGGCTGCAATGAACAAGTCTAAGACTGTAGGGCAAAAGTCCTCCAGTCCTTTATACATGATGTCAAATCCCTCTTAATCCATAAGCTTCCTATCTTCCAACCCAGTGAAAGAGGAGAGACATCTTTATGGATGTTGATCATCTGTACATACCAGCTTCCTGCGTAAACGATGGGAGAGTGAAATGCAGCACAGGAGCAGATTGCCATATATGAAATGATTGTCTAGATTAAGATTGCTTGACATTGAGTTTTGCAAGTAGGTTGCGTTACTGATTCTTGTCAAGTGTGGGAATATAATCGTGACTCAATAAACTCCTAAAAATTGTGAGCATAACTGCATGAGCAGAAAAAAAAGCATCACAATGCAAACAGTATCCAAAATGAAACAACTCACGCCAGAAAAATGCTATCGGTTTTAAAAGTTTTCTTCAGTTTCATGGGTATTGTACAAAGGTCTTGTGACTACCTCAAAGGCATTTTATAGCTTTGGGATGACACAAAATACATGTGAAACTCTAATAGAAAGAAAAAGTATTACAAAGTTCTTTAATCTGAAAATAGATTTTAATTCATAGCAATTTCTGATGATGATGATGATGAAAGCTTTAACCATGTCATGCTATACTACAGGAACATCTTTAAGTCACTACAATATTACCGAATCTTTTATTTTGGCATAATGCCTCCACATGAGGTGGAAGTCTTGTAGTCTGTTTTCAGTCATCGATCTCCTACAATATGCAGTCTCTAAAAGCATCAATATTCCCATACATGTTAGAAAGCCCTATACAAATCTGACTGGAATGGTCAATCTGTTGAAATACAGTGGGTCTTCCATATCTGTGGATTCAACCAATATCCATCAATTTTCTGTAACCACTTGTCCTATTCAAGGTAACAGGGGCCCAGAGCCTTTCCCATCAGAGGACACACTCATATACCATTCACACACACCTATGAGCAATCCCAGTTAACCTCAGCACATTTTTGGACATGGGAATCCCATAACAACACTGGGTGAATGTGTAAACTCCACACACATGGAACCATGGTGGAGACTCAAACCCAGGTCCTAGAGGGGTCAAGCAGCAATGCTAATCACTGCACCACTATGCTGCTCCTCAAGAATTATCTTTAAAAAATCTTAAAGTTACAAAACTTGAATTTGCCTTGCATCAAGCACTACACTGAATCCACATGAAATAAGTGATGTGTAGGCGTACCCTACTGAAGCTTTTCTATTTATAAATATAGTTTTTGTTTGTACTACAATGCTTGTGTCTATATTGAACAAATACTTTCCCTTGCTATTATTCCAACAATACAGCATAACCACTATTTACATTAGGTATTATAAATAATTTAGAGATGACTTAAAGTATAGGCTACAGGATGATGTGTGTAGGTTATATGCAAATGATACACTATTTTGTATAAGGAACTCGAGCATCTGCGGATTTTGGTATCCGATGGGGGTTCTGGAGCACATCCCCCATGCATACAGAGGAACGACCGCTATTTGAAAGATCATGGAATATTTCAAAATATTAATGTAATAGTTATATATTACCTAAGTCTTTGTCTAAATGTTAACTTGCCAGAAAAGTCAACAGTGAATACCTGCTCCTCAATAAAATTTCCAGCATCAGTGAAGTTAATTTTTCATCCAAGGAAGAAAGTGTGGTTTCATGATGTCATAGATCCTTTCTGGCTTTATCTCCCAGGAAAGCGCCTACTTACCAGTAATCCCTTTGAGTTAATCACATGGATATTTGGTGTTCTCAGATGCTACACTCATCTATTTTCATAGAATTTATGGGAAACCAATCCAGCGATGGATGGAAACTGTGAGTGACCCATTGAAATCATTAACTGTCCCTCTACAAACATTAGGTTCTCATGTTTGTGGCTAAGAAAAACATCTCAGCCAACCATCAGCAGAAGAGTGATTTAATCTCTGATCCCTGAGTTTCTGGGGCTTAGGGAAGCTCCTGTAAGTGGACATAATTAGCTGGCCTCCCCAACTTGTGAAATGAACTTAGGTCAGCCTGGGAAATGTGGAAATCATTGCAAGAAGCATGTCATGTAAGCAGAGCAGGAGCAATAGGTGGAGAAATTGGTTACTTTGCTTGAAAACCAGGTAAAAACATCGAAGTAGCTACCTTCAGTCATGTCGGTGTTTCAGGATGGCTAATCTTTTGTGGTGCAATCATTCACTGCTGCTCTTACACTTAGCAACAATTGTAACAGCTTAAGAACACAGTGTATTTGTAAAGTTCGAGGTATTGGTTAGGTTTCTGATTTACACCAAGCAGTAATCTGCAATAGTGGGTAAAACTAACACAACCTGGAATGGATGGAAACTCTACAGCATAGTCAAGTGTGAATCTGAATTCCTCGTAGCAACGTAAAACGTATTGTCTGGTTATCTATAAAGGTTAAACGTTTATCGAGACACTACGGAATCAGAGGCTGGAAAGGATCCAGTGTCAACAGGAGAAAGTAAGAAGCAAATCGTAATGCGGGAATACTAAACATTGTAGTTTGGACTGTGACTCCTTGACCTTTCAGGACATATGTAAGCATGAGGTGCGACTGCAGAGCGACAGTTTGCAGGTGCAGTTTACAGTCGCAGTTCCTTGAACTTTGACGACCATGGTAGGCACTGGGGGCCCTGTGGCCCCCTTCTCTGTGTGGGACTATGTGGTGTTTGCCGGAATTGTCCTGGGGGCAGCGGGAATCGGTCTCTTCCAGGCCATCCGAAGCCGTAGGGACAACAGCAGCCAGGAGTTCCTGCTTGGAGGGAGGCAGATGAGCGCCGTGCCAGTGTCTATGTCATTGACCGCCAGCTTCATGTCGGGCATCACCGTGATTGGTACCCCGGCAGAGGCCTACTTGTATGGGACACCCTTTTGGCTTTTCGGCTTCTCATACGCCATCATGTCCACCGTCAGCGCTGAGATCTTCGTCCCCTTATTCTATCGTTTAGGGATCACCAGCGCGTATGAGGTGAGTAATTAGGAGGAGCGGCACAGTTTTGAAGGTTACGAATTCTCTTCATTATTGTATGGCCAAATCAGCTAAGCAAAAAGGACACCACAATATTCATTATATGGTGTTAAAGTTTTACATCATATATTATAATGGTTTCTTTATTTGCATGCAGAAACTATTGACTCTTCCAAAAAAATTCTAAGGAACTCCGCAGATCTATACTGTAAATGTAGTGTTCCCTGAGCTGACAGCACACGCACCCTAGATGGGAAATGTTTCATTCATTTTTATTAAGCTGTGTTGGGCATTTCCAGTCCAGAAGCTGCAAATCCAGACCAAGATATTGTTTCTACCAACTGGTTAAGCGTAAAGAGTCACAGTCACGCAATGGTTGGTAGAAGCAAAATCTTGGGCTGTATTTGTAGCTTCTGGACTGGAAATGCCCAACACTGTTATTAAGTTTATATTACTATGAATTTAAGATTCCCCAAGATTTCAAATTACACAAAGGTAATGTAATCGAAGATAAATGATATAAATTAAATTAATCATCATATGCTATTTCAGAAAGCTGGACATCGAAAATCAAACATGGTTTTTAAAGTCTGTGTTTTTAAAACAAATAAATATACCACCAATACATTCTTTTAATTTAATATTTTTTCAGCAATGAGCTGGTCACTGTTTATACACTACAGAAAAATGTGTTAAATTATAAATGAAAAAAAAAAGAATTCTCTACTATCTTTTATATCCTCCTGAGACCCAAGGAAAAAAGTGTCCTTCGATTGTAGGTTATTTGTCTTTGGAGGAAATAAGACATCTCACAATTTAGATTTTTTCAAATTTATTTTTATTTTTAATTTCACAGCATGTCCTCTTTAGTGTACAACAGGAATAAATATGTTTCCTTACATCAGTGAAAAGATAGATGCAAAAACAAAATGTCCATTACAATGGACATAAATGAATGGGTGGGGTCTCTGGAGGTTATGGGATTTATACATTATTATATTTATTTATTCCAGTTATCAATTTAAAAATAATTTAGGTATTGTAGGATTACTTATTCTACTACCTTGAGTTACTCAGTTATTAAGATTAAAATTTCTACATTGTTTTTGGAGTTATAATCAATAGTTGCCCGGTTAAGTATGAGGGCAACTGGTTATTGATTAGTCAGCCTTATGTGTTGCTATGCAAGGTACAGTTGCACTCCTCTATATATTCTGCTCATATTAAGCTATGCATCCAAAATGAAGTTTCTCCCCCAACACTTTATAAAATCAGTCTTATACCCAGCAAGTGGCATTTCCCTTCAGGGTGTGGGGCTGTATCCAACAACGGCAGCTAGAAGGGGACTAATGGATGAGGGTGTAGCTGTTCACTGTTTTGTAGGAAAACTAATATTAGAAGGTTAAAAATGCATTAATTTGAAATTAATTTCGAAAGCTTTGATATAGTGAGATTTTTTTTTTGTCAATTTCATAAACTTAAAATTATGTTGAAAAAGAAATATAATTATGGGCATGTTAAGAAATTTACATTGTCAAATTTTTAACATTTTATTTTTATTTATAAATAAAAATCTTTCTTTGGCAGTACTTAGAGATGCGCTTCAATAAAGTGATACGGGTCATAGGAACCAGCATGTACATCACACAGACCGTAAGTACATTAAAATGCGAGCATTCACATTTTGTGATCTGATATGAAGCTTGGGCAATAACTATTTTAAAAAATCACGGAAAACATCTCTTTGTCTTCTTAATTGCTGCCTGTAAAAGATTATTTCCCTCAGAATTTATAGATAACGTGTTCCTTTTTTACCCCACAGCCATTTTCATTTATCATTAACTTTATAAAACTCTCTTACATAGAATGCTTACAGTACCATCCAAAAAGATGTCCTGTTTTCTTTTTCTCAAGTGATTGAGTGTATTCAGAAAGCATGATATTACACAAGAAGTGCTCATAGGCCTGTTGCATGTTTCATCAGTTAGCATTTATATCCAATCATCTAATGGCTACCATCTCACCTAACAGGCTTTGTACACAGGGATGGTTATCTATGCCCCTGCCCTCGCATTAAACCAGAGTGAGTCTTGATTAACAGAGTACTTTATCATATTTATTTATGTCAATCATTATCAGGCCAATCTCTTCCAGACTAGGAAAATTAAATCATTGTCTAATGTTGTCTAATTATCAGATTACAAATGTTATCTGCAGGAGTGAATGTTGATAGAAGGCGATGGTTTATGATTTAACTGATTTCACCTACGCAGACAGCTGGATATATGCCACAGCTAACAGCAACACGGGCTGTTCGTTTTTTTGAACATGTGTGCTGCAGGAAATAATGTCTCTGGTATATATTTTTTTATTCCAGTCACAGGGCTTGACCTCTGGGGCGTGCTGGTGGCCACGGGCGTCGTGTGTATCATTTACTGCACATTGGTCAGTGGAACCATTTGGGAAATTCTTGTTTAACTGGGTTCAGGTCTTTGGTGGTGCTGCACACATAATTTTGCTCAGATAAGTTTAAATACTGCATTAGCTGCACATGGGAAGGGTGGAGTGTAACTGACCCTGGTGTGACCATGCTTAGAAAAAATAAGAGTTAAAACCTCAGCAACACGATGATATATTGCAAATACCCACAGACATACAACTTACACATGTACACCTACTTATAATCTTTCTGTGACACTCTATTGTGATGCACGTCCAGCCATTTTGATATGTAGCTGGCTAAAGCAGGTTGCATATGGGATAACAATGTCTGTTTTCTGTACTGCTGTTTCTGTTGTGACCCCCCCCCGCCACCAGGGTGGCCTTAAAGCAGTCATTTGGACAGACGTGTTCCAGATGGTCGTCATGCTGGCTGGTTTTGTGGCTGTCATTGTCCGGGGAGCCATCCTCCAGGAGGGTCTGACTAAGATCTGGGATGATGCCCGTCAAGGGGAAAGACTCAATGCGTTTGAGTAAGTGTCAGCACAAAAAGGAGACACACACCCATAAAACCCGGCAAAGTTGTCTGGTACACCTGCAGTATGATTGAGTAGATCATACCCATAAAGAAAATTGCCACTTGCAAAAATTCATAGAAAATGCTACTTCTGGCATGGATTTGCTCAAGACAAAAAAAAAACACAGCCTTTCAAAGCCAAATTAATTTGCGAACTGAAATGTTGCTTCAATGCAGCTTTAGTCCTGACCCTTTGAGGCGGCACACGTTCTGGACCATTGTCGTGGGCGGGAGTTTGATGTGGACGTCAATCTATGCCATCAACCAGTCGCAGGTGCAACGCTACATCTCATGTCGCACCGTCACCCATGCCAAGCTGTGAGTATGTCACTTGCGGTAAGCATAATGACATCGTCAAACTCCTTCGTGGTTGGTCCTGGAAGCCATGGAAGGCCGAGGTAGTGAGACATGACCTGCTGATTTAATGCACCTTCTTACTTTTTCTCCGCCAGCTCTCTGTATATAAACATGGTGAGCCTGTGGGTCACTGTGAGTTTGGCAGTCTTCTCTGGCCTCACTATGTATTCCATTTACAAAGACTGTGACCCAATCACCAACAAAGATGTTGGGGCTCTTGACCAGGTACTTGCCAATAAGAGCCTACGTTAGGTCTTGATCAATTGAATTGTGCATTTTGACTAATGTAAAAGATTGTTGTACAGTTTTCAGGTTCATTCGAAGTTTCTTGTCTACTGTTAGTCCAGATTCATACAAAAAGTCATGCTTCTGTGTTTGTGTCAACCAGATGTTGCCATACTTGGTGATGGACATTTTGTCAGAGTTCCCTGGAGTTCCTGGGCTGTTTGTGGCAGCTGCATACAGTGGCACTCTTAGGTGAGATGCACACCTTTTTACTAGGCATAATTTTTAGAAGCCCACAGATTTCACAGGGACATGATGTGGATATGGAGGTATCAGAGAGATAATAAAATAAATACAGACACTCCTCTACTTATGAATGAGATACGTTCCGAACAGCCGTTCGCGACTTGAAATGTTCGTAAGTTGTTATTCAACATCATTTTAAGGGTATATGCAAGTACAGTACTAAGAACTAGGATGCTGGGAGTACGCACGCTACGCTGCTGCATGGCGAGAGTAGCGGCCAGAAGTCGTACTAGGTGGAATTGGCGCACAGAAAAAAAAATTATGTTGCGGACAGGAAACAGGAGCCCAATCAATTTGGACTTATAGTCCTCTTCGTTCGTATGCCTGAAAGTCCCCAAGTCTACAGCACACCACCGAATACACTGGTTTTTCTAGAACATTCTTCCATTATAGAATGATAATTTTATATCTGCCCATTTAGATCAGAATCAGATTTCGGATCAATCATTTAAGTGAACTTAAACATTTATAGTAAGTTGTAGAAAATCCAACGAGTTACCTGATTTTTATAAATTCATACTCTTGGTCTCTACAAAAGTTATTGTTTAACAAGCTCTTTTGCAACTTTGGACTGAATTATAGCCTTCATAACATTTCCTGCAAAAGAAGTAAGCTATTTGGTCTATTGTTGGCTGGATCGAGCTTGTGTAACAGTACTTATAGTCCACTTTGTAGGGGTTAAGGGGGGGGTGGGCGCAAACCACCCATGATCTGAAAAACACAGACAATCTTTTGGTTCCCTTGGTCGCATTGGTTTGCAAAATGAAGGAATAACAGGAGATACAAAGATCACTGCGAGATATCACTTGAGAGGCTGCCATAAACACCCTTGCTGCCCTCCAAACCAGCACATATATTTTATGCATTTATGAGTTATTAAACTTTTTGTGTGCCTGCTGGCCTTCATGTGCTGTCCGTGGCTTTCATTTAATTTCTTAGGTCAATCCCATGATAAATCAAAACCGTTATGGGCAAAGTAACGATGCAGAAAGGTTGACTTTTCTGTTTTCATACCTCTAAACACTGTGTAGTAAAGTTCTTTGTATATTACTTTCAAATATACTCATGTTCAGAAAGGCATAAGGATTCTGTTATAATTTTGTGTTCTCTTCAACGAACACCAGTGAAAATACTTTATCAACTTAAACTTTTATCAGTTTACTGTTTCCTTGTCTTCCATTTTACTTTGAATGATACGTCTTACTGTTACAACTGTAGGAAAATCGTTGAAAAAGCTAAACTGAAAAAAAGTTGCTTTCAATGAAACCAATTGAATCATGTACAGTGGTTCCACACAACTGGAATGAGTGTTTTTGAAAATGAAACCTTTTTTAAGTTGATGCATTCAACAGAACAGAACATAGTTGTATTAATCTCACAAAATTTTCCCATGTCCAATTTAACTTAATTAATTGGTTGGTAGATTGTGTAACATTATTTGTCAATGCTGAGAGAAGGTGAGAGCTCCTCTAGTGGCTGTAGGAATGCATTTACCCTGGAGCAGATGTAATGGATGGAGGCATCATTGCTTTTACACTGTGACTTGTGAAAGAAGAACCAATCAAATAATTTTGCTCATTTAATATTAAGATTTTTACTAGGCATAATTTTTAGAAGCCCACCATCATCAAGGATAGTGTGTCATGGATATTAGTCTGTACCACATTTTTTGCTATTTATTGTTCAGGATCACGCCCCCTCATCTACCCCGTGCGGAATCCCGGTGTTACAGGCTGTTTCGAGTCACGTTCATTGCTGTTGTGTATTTAAGCCCGCGTTAGAGTATATTTCCCCAGTCCGGTCATTAACGTTTTGGCGTCGCTGTATGTTACCTGAGTGTGTGATTCCTTACTAAATCTCTCGTTTACCCGACTCCCTGCGCCTGCTTCCCTGCTCCGCGTATGACAAATACAACTTAAAAATAAATATACATTGCAATAAATAAAACTTGTGCTAAATAATTATCACCAACAAAGGACCATTGTTTCACACACTTAAACGAACTTTTTTATATCACCAAAGTAAAAAAGCGTTCTTCACGCCGCTTAATTTAATTTGCGTTACTTGACATTTGCGTTAATTGACGTCCAGCGATGTGACTATTGCACCTGCATACATCGTGATCACGATGCCAAAACAATATATCGTGCAGCGCTAATAAAAACTAATACATTTACAATTTTATGTCAACATAATTTAAGTAAAACCAAGTGAATTGAAGACTGAATTTCAGTATGAATGGGCATTGTATATTCTGGTAAAAACTGATTTTTGTTACACCTGGCATAGTCTATAAATAACTCACCTGTAAAATGATTTAAACTTTATTTTCAGAACTGTTGCACAACAAATAAAAAAGAAATAAAAATTCCAAGAAATAAAACATTTTGTGTGGTAAAAAGTCAGCAGTCCTAAACCGGAAAATGTCATTTGATGTAACACTTATCGGTATCTCCCTTCCCATTAGCACCGTGTCATCCAGCATCAATGCCCTGGTCGCCGTTACTATGGAGGACTTTGTCAAGCCCCTGTGGACCAGCATGACTGAGAAGCAGGCTTCTCTGCTTAACATGGGCCTCAGTGAGTGTGTCTTGTGATTTAATTTGGCTAATTGACTATGGAAGACATGGTTCAGAATGTGGTATAACCAATAATTACGTGACAATTGAATTTGCTATATACAATCATGTCATACTTTTAAGTTCTAGCCATTATGCAGCTGGACATGTAATTGTAGTATCTTTTAGCTAGGCACTTTAACAAGACTATTGGTTGTTGCCAAAACACCTGAAACATGCAGATGAAATGAATTACAGGAAATGTCATCATTTTCTAAAATGAAATTAAAGTAATGGAAGGAAAAACTGGCATATAATTTTACGCTTTTACAGCGTGATGAGTTTATAAAGTTTACATGCATAAATTAGCAAGTAAATAGTAAATACAGGTGTTTTACAAGAAGGAAGTTTGTCTGTTGGTAGATGTAGTTTCTTGCATTACGTGTCTTCCAGCGTAATTGGCTGGTAAGCACTCTGCTGAAGCGCTCTGCATTTCCAGGTGTGGTCTTCGGAGCAGTCTGTATCGGGATGGCAGCTGTGGCATCTCAAATGGGAAGCATTCTGCAGGTATATTTGGAAATTTTCAAAATGAATAAAGAAATCATGTTTTCAAGGTGCCTATACCTGTAATTCTGGTCTGTATAATTTTTATTCTCATTCAGTTGTGATAATTAATATTTAATTTTATATTGTTAAGCTAATAACTTTATGCTTTATCACAGAACAACTACCACACGCATGCAAATGACGTTATTATCTACAGTGCATTCATTAAAAGTATGCAGGCCTCTTTATTTTTTCCACATTTTGTTATGCAGCAGCCATATTCTAATATGGATTAAATTCATACTTGAAATCATAAATCTGTTCAATGCACCATAATCAAAAAGCAAAAGCAAGTTTGTACAAATTGTTGTAAATGTATTAAATATAAGAAAAAAATACTGATGTATCACATATACATTCAGCAATTATTCAGGAATTTGCTATGACATGCATCCTTTTTCCATTGATCATCCTTAAGATGTTTCTACAACTTGATCAAAGTTCACCAGTGGTAAATTTGGTTGATTGGACATGATCTGAAAAGACACACATCTAGCTATATAAGGCCCCACAGCTGAAAGTGCTTGCCAGGAGAAAAAAGGAAAAACATTAGATCAAAGGAATTGTCTGCAAACATCTAAAACAGGATTGTGTGGATGCACAAAGTTGGAGAAGGGTGTTGAATTTTTTTTTTGCAGTTTTAAAGGCTCTGAAGAACACAGTGGCTTCTAACATTCTTAAAGGGGAGACATTTGGAATCATCAAGACACTTTCTTGAGATGGCTACCCAACCAAACAGCAAAAGGGGTAGAAAGGTAGGGCTAGAGGCAGAAAGGTGACGCAAAACCTGAAGATCACTTTGACAGAACTCCAGAAGATTTTGGTGAAGATGGGAAGATTTCAGAGAAGATGGGAGTACCTGCCAGAAGGACACCCATCTCTGCAACGTAGTGGGCAGCTGAATGCTATTCCACAGCAGACGTTGCACCTGCAGTTCAGACTAGATAATCCGTCTGAACCTAAGCAGATTTGGGCTTGGCAAGTACATGGATGGGAGACCAATTAGGAAAGATGAAAGAGGTGTTGGTGTGGTCAACAGGTTAATCCATCCTGTGGTCTGTGTGGATCCCAGGGCAGCGACAGAGACACTGTGCTCTGAAAATGGCCCCATCCTTTGGATGAGACATAAAACTGAGGTCCTGACACTCTGAGGTCATAAAGGATCCCTGGGCATCTTTGTGAAAGAGTAGGGGTGGTCCTGGCCACAACTGCCCGCTGTGGCCCTATGAAATCTGTGGCCTGTACTACAAAGTGGGGTTATTGGCTTATCGGGGGTAACTTGTTGGATTTAAGATACCACAGTTTAAATGGACTTCATATTCGTTCACTTACATTTTGCCCAGACTACCTAAAATCCGATGTTACCCCGATAAGACAGTAACCCCGCTTCGTAGTACAGACCACTGGCCTCCAATCAATCAACCCCTATATCTAACTGGTGAATTCTCTCCTGCCCCTTTACCACCGTAGCTGGTGGTGACTGTACTGGTGCAGAATGGCTGCTGGTGCATCATCCAGGGTGACAAACTGTGGTGGTGGTTGAAGTGGCTCTCTATTGGAGTTAAATCCAATCAAATATTTCTGGAGAGACCTGAAACTAGTATCTGAGGTTCTGCAAATAAGAATGGGTAAAAGATCCCCAAATCCACCTGTGCCAGGCTTGTAGCTGGAATTACTACAAAGGGTGCTTCAACCGATTACGGTACTGAGTAAAGTCTGAATACTACTGATGTATCTTATTTTTGATACATTTACAAAAATATTTTAAGACACGTACAGAAATTATACAAAATTGTTTGCCTTTTGTATTATTTGCAGATTTGATTTTAAATTCATTCAAAAACTCCAGATTACAGCATGGCTGCAACATAACAAAATATGTGAAAAAAGGAGTGAATACTTTTTGAGTCTCCTGTACAAATGGAATGCAATCATGCCCTCTGCTGGTTAACATCTGTCATGACCAATCAAATGTCAAACATTCCATTATTTAATCACACAGGCAGCCCTGTCCGTTTTTGGGATGATCAGCGGACCATTGCTGGGACTTTATGTGCTTGGAATGTTTTTCCGCTGTGCAAACTCATCTGTAAGTATTCCATTTATACCTACTGCTGTCCATGTGGGCAGTTTTGTTGTCATTCTTACAACTGTAATATATTTAACTATTGTACAAGAAGTTTTTAATAAAATCTGTGAAATATATTTTTATTATGCTATTAATGCTGTTCACCCTGAATATCGTATAAGTAAATCTGGCTTGTGTTATCATGTGTTATTTCGTTAATTTCTGCTTAATCAGAAAGCATTTCTGTCCTGTTTAGGGAGGACTTGTGGGAATGATTACAGGCCTTTTGCTGACACTGTGGGTGGGTATTGGGGCCCAGATGTACCCTCCTCTGCCAGAGAAGACCAGACCACTTCCTCTGAGCACAGAGGGGTGCATTTACAACAATACTCAGAACTTCACCACCATGTCACCCTGGAGCAGCACACAAACATTGATTCCAACGATTCCTAAGTAAGCCCCTACACCCATAATCCTCACCAGAGCCTAGTATGTTGCAGTATGACCCATTCATCAAACTGGACATTTACAGCTACAGTAGGCACAGCAGGTGAAGTGCATTGCTCAAGGGTATACCAACAATCTCTACAGGGAACAGAGCTTATTGATAACAGGTCAGAAGGTGAGACAAAAACGCTGTGAGCACACGGATCTCTAATCACAGATGTTAAGTCACAGAAAATGTGACTCAGTATCTCACAGTGCACCAAGAATCTAAGGCTATAAAAATAAGATGTTATGGTTGCTGTAAATGTGCTTTTTTCCCCTCACTTTTTTGTTCAGTTCAAATTCAGAGATAGACAACAATCACTTTCAGATGCTAAAGGGCTTTGATGTCTTGTCCTGGTTATAAATATTTGAAATACCTTGGCCATTCACAGCTTGTATCTGGGTCATCCTATTATGGACTCTCATAGCTCACCAAACTATGCCTTACTAGAATAGCTGAATGATATTCGTTTTGCAGTTAACCAATTTTACTATTGCAGCAGCAGACCAGCCTTAGCAGACAGCTGGTACTCACTGTCCTATCTTTACTTCTGTCCTGTGGGGACATTGGCGACCATCATCATAGGACTGCTGGTCAGCAGTGTCACAGGTAATGGATATCGCATTTCCCATGATCCTCCTTTCCTGCTAGCACTCCTACGGATTTTCATTTTAAATGCCTTCTTAATAAAACTTTATTTTAACCTCGATGTTACTATGACATGCCAAACACTATAATTATTACCATACATTCATGTACCCCCTCCACTAGGTGGCTGCAAGCAGAGAACAATCCGGCCTGATCTGTTTGTTAGGAAGAGTGATTTATTCTGCTTTAGCAGCTGTGATGACTGCTCCACGGTACAGTCTGCAAAATAAAGAATATCAGAACCTGACATATTGTCATACGGCATTTGGCTCAAGTCTGTTTTGTGTCTTTCCTTTTCAGCCACCGGAGTCCGAAGCACCAGTGAAGTCAAGCTCCAGTCTAAAGGAGGGAAAGAAAAACCTCGCATTCATAGGCTCGCAGATGGATATTGCGGATAAGAACCATGAAAAACTCACATGGTTCTGAACTGCAGCCGGATTGTAGATGTGCATTCCCACTTTGATTCTGCTAGAGAAGCAAGCGAGGTCTAAGTCCATTGTGGCGGTTACATCAAATTTGATGAATGGCATTACACACCAATGACCTCATCTGAGTGTATGTAGCTTAAGAGCTGTTGGGCCTTGTTAAGGAACACTGAACCATAAACTACAAAAGTGTGCAAAAACGCATTTCATTTCACCAGAAACAACAGGGCCTTTGTCAGGCAATTTAAGTCTCTGTGGATTTCACACTTCAGTAGATTATATTAATGTAGTATTTCTATTTCACACATTAATGAACACTATTACTAAAAAGACCCAAAACTGTTTCATACATATGGCATAGCAGGGATAATTCTTTTTTTTATTTTATACACTTTTGTGGTCTATTTTAAATAACACGCATATTCTAATTTTTGTGGGCCAAAAACCATCTGTGGTGAAGTTATTGTAGAATTATCCATGTACAGCTATATTGAAAATAAATAGTCATATTGTAAAATAGTACCACATTTTTATAGCTATATCAAAATAAACATGATCCTCCCAGACATTTATTTTGCCTTGATCATGTTTGGTTGGTTATTTTTTATGGCATTTTTCTGTAGGTGGTTGAATGAATTTGGTGCATAAATTCTATTGCGTTGTTCACTTCTAAACTGATTGTTGAAGGTGTTTCCAACAGACATATGTTGCATTATAGATTAAAGAACATATAATAATTGAGGCTCTAACAACAGCAAACGAACACTGGGATATAGCTCAACACAAAACAAACATGGAGAGGCCCGATCTGCATAACAACCCCCGTCTCCTAGACAACTGGCTGACAATTCTGGGAGTCAACAAAGCTATGGCCCTCCCACTTACCTGCCCAGGTATCGTGTGAGCCCTCCTCCAACACTCCCAGGCTCACTGGGAGTAGATAGGGAAAGCTGAACTTCAAAGAACAAACAATTCTGACGTCTGGATTTTCCAGGGTGTCTGCTGGAACTCCGGTAAGCTAAACATTCCATCCAAAAATATCAGTACTCTTTTGAAAAATATCCTTTTTCATTCTTCATTTAGACTAGTTGGTGCAAATAGGCATTTTGTGCCGTTTGAGATATGGATGCTTGTGTCAGAGCAGCAGGGAAATGATCCTGTTCAGAGGTACTTCCTGATTTCATGGAGACTGGATATACATGCCTGCAGCTGTAATATTCAGAGGACAATAACACAGAGAAGCTCATTGATCTTAATTCTTGAATTTGATGGGTGTCACAAATCTCTATTATAATGTTAATGAATAAGAAGGGTGAAAAGGAGTTGCAAAGCAAGGTTTCTCTTTGTAAATATCTTTGCCTTGAGTACAGTGTACAACAGGTACGGACATGCTCTCCTTGTTTGTGTGAAATGCCCAAGAAAATGAAACCTAAAGCCCTGGAGCCACAAGACTGAATGCTCAGATCCAAGGTGGAGTGCAGGAGGCACAAAAGTCTTGTTTCTCCCAGCATTGTTATCAGAACGCTCTTTCTCCTTATGGTACTCCATGGGCTCTTTTAGGTGACTTGCAGGAAGAGCCCGTGAAGAAAGAAAGCTATAGACTAGCTGAGTAATTTCCTTCTGTATGCCAGAGCATGTAAACACATGATTCATGGAAAAGCATTTACTGAACAAGACCTGACCAGCTTTACTTTCAACTTTGCCGTGTAGTAGAGGAATATGCAATTTTAAATACCTGAGGCACTATGGTTACGTAAGATGGTCTAAGATGTCCTATGAGCACATTTTGTTATGATATTGCAAAACAAATTCTTATACTTTTACCATTTAGGTAGCCTCCCTTGTGCATTCATATTACACTGTCTTTGTTCAGTAAATCATGTATATCCATCTGTTTTCCAGTGGCTTCTCCAGTAGAGGGTCAAGGGCATGAACATACAGTATGCATTAAGGAAAATAGGGATGCCAAATTTATGAGAATTCAATGGTTATTGGTCAGAATAGTATTAACTCATATAATCAACATCATTTGTCATTCATCCATCTTCTAACCTGTTGTCCAGTACAGAGTTGCAGGGGTGCTTGAAATCTATCCCAAGCAGCATGAGTCAGGGGACACTCTGGGAAGGATGCCAGTCCTTTGCAAAGGAACACACACATTACGGATTATGGTCATTGTATAATGATATAATGGAACTCCAGTATATTGATGATAAAGGCTTTGAATCCCACAGTGGGTGTGATCAAAGTATACTGCCAGTCACTGAATATTTTACTTCTCATCAGTTACTTTACTGGTATCTTTCTATACAAGGCAGTGACTAATGGTACATAGTAATCGCACCATTACTTACTTTTCAGATCTATTTGTATGTAATTTTTTGTTGATATTTATGTAACAATAAATACAAATTTTCAATCATGCACATTCATTTTTTGGTAACATTTTAAGGTCTGCTCCTTAACTATTAATAAACTGTTGCTAATCATTTGATAATATATATCAGTAAATAAAAAGATTCACTTACAATTAAATTTATAAATGTATTATTATTATTTTTTATTTAAATAGGTCCCAAGACATGAAAATGACCCTCGCACAAAGATTTTGTCGGATTCTTTTTCTAGCCAGTTTTGTGTTGACAGTTCTGTCTGAACCTCTTCCCACAACGGGGTCTTCTGATGAAATCAGTACTGCCAATGGCACGGATGTTGTCTCAACAATCTCTGCTCCCAATATCACTGTTTTTTCTACAACGGTTTTGCCAAATCACACCCAGAATGATTCCACCACTGATATTTTTTCTCCAAATTTGACCCAAGACAACCTGGGATTCTCCAAATCCACAACACTCTCACAGATCACAAATGGAGCTATAACCCCTCAGATAACAACAGGCCTTCAACCTTCAACTAAAGTCACAACAACATCTAATGTCACGTTCCCTGCCACTACCCATGGAGCCTGGACAACTGTGAACGTCAGCAGCACATCAAATTACACCACTTATGAATCACAAACAACTGAATCACACCTGAATAAAAACATCACAGCATGGACATCTGCCCCTGGCTATTTCAACACCCAAGGTAAATATTTCTAAAAACTCAATATTTTTAGTTAGCACATATGACAACTATATTGAATTTAGTCAACACATCTCATTGGATATGCCAAGATTATCGTCAATGAAAATTTAATTTTCTCATATGTGAAGCACTTCGAGCTGCATTCCATGTATGAAAAGTGCTATATAAAGATTATTGTTATATTTATAGGCAATATTCATGTTTTAATATTTGTCCTCCATTACATCAAAACAGAACCACCAGGTGGAATGACCTATTCAGAACAGAACATGACAATTCTCTTCAGTGTTGTCACTGGGTTGGCTTTTCTGGTCATGTTCACGTACGCCATATACAGGTGCAAACGGAAGACTCAGTACTCTCATCGTCCTCTCTATAATTCTGAGGAAACAGGTGAGAACTTTAAAAATATTTTGCTTCAGGTTTGCACTAGAGACTGGTAACTTGAGGTCTGCTACCATGATCAAACAACACACAGAAGGAATGCAGGAGCTTAAATGATGGCTGTTCACAGTTATTTTGTTCCTTTTCTATATCCCCAACTATTTGTTTTCACAGTGGACAGGTTTGTGGCAGCAGATGACACTCTAGTAATCTCTGGTGGACTCTACGATGGCCCTCGCATTTACAACCCCACTATGACCACTCTGCATGATGAGGAATTCAATGCCGACCATCCATTTCCCTCCCAACCCACCCAATTTCGACTGGAGTTCATGAATGAAGATGAAGAGAATAAGTCCCCGGACCATGGGACTTGTAGCTTTGAAACATTTCAACCAGTTGGTAATGATTCTTAGTCAACCAAAGTGAGGTTCTGAACGTAATACATTTTTTCACAAATGTACTTTATTTTAATTTGCTAACAAGGCCAAGTTTCAAATTGCCAATTCAGCTATGACATACTTTGATGAGTAAACACAATGTCAACAAGGACATGCTATTCATTAAAGTATTTAATTTCAACACTATTAAAACAACAAGCTAACATATTTAATGAAAACAACAAATGGAAGTAGATAAATATAACATTTTAAATAAAAATCAATTTGACATCAAAAACCAGTTTATAAAGTATACTTATGGCTAATATAAAGTACTAACATTAATGACACTATAAATACAAGGTATATGAAGTGTAATAAATTATACGAGTAACAGGCCAACTAGAACACACATTAAAACCTAAATAACTAATTGGAACCAAAGAACTAGTCTAATTCACTCAACAAAATTTTAAAGATTTTGAGATTAAACTCCTAGTCTGTCATTATACGAACAGAACTGCAATTCAGTCAGATCTTAATACTACCCATCAAGTCCTGTAAAAGAGGAGAGCTAAGCAAAAATTTTTTCAGATGCTTTTTTCTTCTTTTTCATATCTGCACTGGTTACAGCTGTCCATCCAGCATCTCTCATTCTTTTCACTGCTGCCAGTTTCAAAGCCACCCCAGGGGATTTAGACACAGTGGGACTCTGGCTCAGAAAGGACAGCATGGCAGAATGTGAAAAAGCAGTGAAATAACTCTTCATTCAACATCTGATGACTGAAAAATACCAGGATACTACAATGCAAACCCTTGAGACTTCAAATCATCAACACAGATTAATAAATTCATCACACACACATAAAGCCTTTTTAACTAAGTGAGACAGGTGGTGTGCAATGCCTATATATGGATTGCCAACCATGATATTTGCAATAAATCAAGACTTCACAAAGGTTTTTTAAGCTCTAAGTTCTTCTGATAAACTTTATTTGGTAACACTTTACTTAAAGCAGTCATATAAATGAACACAGCAATAAATATTTATAAAAAGGCATAACACATTATAGCCATACTTCATTATGCTTATGAAGCTCTCATCTATAATGCACTATAAATACCTTCATAATGCAGTACAAAGTATCCTTAATTCTTATACTTATAGTGCACTACTGATTAGAGTGTCATAGAGTATTCATGTCCATGTTTATAACACTTTATAAGCGCATTATAATCTATTATGAAGGTATCTATAATGCATTATAAAGACTGATTTAAGTAGTGTTACCCTCGATTTATTTCCTGAATTTTCCTCTTAGCCTAGGTACAGTACACATGAGTGTCAGTTTATACATCACCACCACTCATTATAAAAACTGAAGCAAAGAGCAAAATATGACTTCATAATACTTCATAAAACAAAATTCCTCAGGCTGAGCAGCTATATTTACAGAACTTAGGACCAATTTCTCACAATTAAGCGGCAAATTAACAATTAATAACTATCATAAAATTAAATTTTAAATGGTTAAATATGGCAACAGTGAAATTTTAAATTATTTACTTTTAGTACTTTTAGACCCCCATACTGCTGGAAGCTTCCAGCATCTTTTCAGTCACCTCTCCCCATCTGAAAAGGTTCTACTCCCAAAAACTTTATGTTATCAATAAAAGACAAATAAATATCTTACTGCGACTTCTGTGGAAAACCACAAATATAATTAAGAACCATTGACTCAATGCAAGATCACATTGAGCCTGGAGTTTATCCCATGGGGCAAACTACACCCTGGGCTAATACTGCACATCGTACTTATAGTGACAATGAACCTAACCTGCAATCTGTACACCGCATTTTACTGTACTCTAATCATCATACCGACACTTGCACTACTAGCAAACTATGAACATGAAAGGTGTGGCACATTATTCGCTACATGGCTATCAATTTACAAACAACAATACAAACTTCTTTATTTAGCTCAAACAAAACAGAATGAAACAGTACACAATAATTTGTATGCTTCTTTACACAATGACTAGAGGTTATTAATTCTCAATTGTTACATAGCAGTATTTCCCTGCATTTTGTAGAATAGGCATGCATGGCCCACAGGACATGTGCTGAGCTACCCTGTAAAGATCTTGATGCTTAAATTAGGTACACTACTTGAATTAAATTCCTACAATAAATACTGTACCTTTAGATGATGCATAGGTATTCCGTAATCACCTGTCTTCCTAACATTGGGCTCACCTTCAACAAGAAAACTCTTCCAAGCAACAACAGTTTGAAAAGAATGTTTTAGTGACACAGTATAACATTTGTGCATTACGTAATACAGTGTAATACTGTATAATGTTGAATCAATAATAATAACATAATCTTTGAATTTATGAGACAAGCAACCATAGCTTTTATATTTGGGAAAAATGCTTAAAAATACCAGTAAATCTTGTTGTTCAGAGCTATCAGATGTGGAGTCAAATTCCAGGACAGTTTTAATCCAGGGCACAGATTTTCCAGTAGAAGGTGGTGTACGTATTCTGTATGACTAAAATGAAAAAAACCTGTTAGTTCACACTTAAGACACTACTTTATACTCACTCTGCTGCTTACTGTACGTTTGCTACAATTTTTAGAATGGATACAATGATATTTTAAAATAACACAGTGGATGCATACATACAAATAGGTTGAAGAAATAAATAAAATGAATTGTATAATTACTTTTATCCGTGGTGTGGTCTTTGCCTTTTTGAGTGAAATGCAGCACTGAGTTTTTAAGTTTTCTGTTCCTGACTCCTTTAACATAACACAGATTTAAAATTTGGCAGTAGTGAAGTATACATCAACAATGACATAAACTAACAAGGTTAACCAAAATGGCCATCAAAAACACTGGCCGAGTTTTGTAAGAACTCTACAAATTCAAATCAAAGGATTCTGAGGATGATAAATATCACACTTCAAGGGCATATACTGGTATTAGAAAGAGATCAGATATTTTCTTACTTTATTTGGTGGTGTTTTCATAATGTTTTTGGAAGGACCCAGAGATGAATCTGTAATATCAGTGCCATTTTCTGTCTTCTTCGTAGACAATGCTGATTTCCTCATGAACCTGAGTGAAGACTGTGTTTTCTGGCTTGTACTACAACATATTTCTTTGATGTTATGTTGAGGTGTCTAGCAAAACAAACAAATAAGATGGGGGGAAAAAAGAAAAGCTGAATTTTCAAAACACTTTTTTGTCTCCTACTGCCGGCAATGTTAAATAAAACTGGATGTTAAATATGTTGATATACATTATAATAATTTATACCTGCTATAAAATCAAATCATACATACATAAATGAATCAAGACAAATGTTTCCAATGTAACTATAGTACAGTAATTCAAAAAGAATGAAAGATAATGAATAAACAGAAACATTCAATTAGACTTAACAACAAGTATTGAATCTTAAAATGACTATACAGTGTACCTTCTCTTTCACATCCTCCTGCACAGACTTCATTTTTAAGTTCAAATCTGTAATTTCCTGTTTAAGTTCGTCCTGTAAGCCACAAGAACCTGGTTTAATTTAGCAGTATTTATTCAGTATTAACAGGATTCAGTATTTATTAACCATAAAACATTCAGGATGTTTAAAACTTACCATCTCTCTCACTTCATTTTCAAGCTGCTGTTTTAAATTTGAATTCTCAATTTTTGTCTCTGAAAGTTCCAGTACCTAAAACATATTCATTTCACAAAATCCTTCACATTATGAATGTTGTGGTTTAAATAAAAATGTTGTGATACTTATCAATACAATATATCTATAAAATGTGTGAAGGATAATTCTGAGAAAGTGACCTGTTAATTTGCTTTTGAAGGTAGCCACCTGAAAATATGTTCAATGCATAATGCTTTAACTTAATCCCACTATTGCTGTGTTGTACTGAGTAAGATGTACCATACCAATGAGGTGTAACTGGCATTTGCTTCAGCTTCTTTCAGTCTCCTGTTATCAAGCTCAGCATATTTTTCTTCAATCATCTTGTCATACTGATTCTGAAAAACAATGAAACACTTTCCAACATATGCAGGACATTTTCAGACAATTTCTTGGGCACACTGATCTTTACCTTGTGCTTTTCCATTAAGGCCACCATGTCAGATATCTTGTGCTGGCACTTGATTTCTGTCTCCTCTTTGATTCGAACAGCTTCCTGGGTTTCAAGGTTAAGTTTTTCTACCTGAAAGAGTAAAAAGAGGAAGTAAGCCAAAGCACTAATCAGTCTGGCTTTTAGTTGATAAGAAATTGTTGTTGTTATTTTTTACCTTCTTATAGAGGTCAGATTCAGTCACAGCATTCATTTTCATTTCTGCCTGTAACTTCGTAAGCTTTTCATTGTTAAGACTTTGAATATTTTTAAATTGTTCTTTAATTTCATTCACCTAAAAGCAAAACATAAAATGTAACACTGCTCATTTACACACTATGGTATAACCACAGAGATATACATTGCTTACCTCAGTGTCAAGTTTATTGCATTTCTCTCTTTCTGTTGCCAGCTGTTTTTTTAAACTGTTATTCTGAAAAGATAGTCAGAAAGCTAAAAGTAAGATTTCTCAGATATCCAAGTTTGGCAGTCATGATGAATTAAAATAAATGCAACAATTACTAACCGCTTTTAGGCATTCATTGTAAGCTTTTGTTTTATTTTCTGTTTTTAGTTTTGAGGAATTTAGCTGTAAATAAAATAGGAGCAATAGATTAATTCATTAAAGAATAAAAACACACTAAAAAGAAGCCAAACATAAAACAATACATTAATTTACCTTAAATAGCTTTTTATTTTTAATTACTTCTTCCTGCAAACTTTTGTTCTGTATGATCACCATGACCATTGAATTATAAAAGAAAAAACTGAACGTTTATATTCTAGCTAAATTTCATCACAGAAATATAAAAACTAAAAATGGTATAAATTGAAATATATCTCATGATTAAGGACATTGTGATGCCAGAATTAGCAGCTGATACTCAACAAGTAAAATTACCCAATTCAACACCACAGTAAAAAACAAAACAATGAATTCCATGTACTTCAACATACACACTCCATTGCTGAAAACATTTGAAGATTGCAAAACACAACAGTGGCATGTGCCCTTCAAGTAGTAAATAAAAACAAACAACTATTACCATTACAAAAAAGAACAGTGGCATGTATCTAAAACAAACAATATTGTGCTTAAAATATAAACAGTGATCACATCACCAATTGCAACAAGCTTAAGA